AAACATAAAAAAACTGCGCATCTTTTCACCAGGTAGGTATAATTTAAATGTTGATTATATAGACAGGTATTATATACCTGAAAAGCCTCATTTAGATTCAGCCCCTGCCACTGCCCCTCGCGCTGCCGGCAATACTTCGCTAAATACTGCCGTAGCAGGATCGCGGGAAGTGTGTATTTACCGATTCCGATCCGATAGGAGTAATAGTTTTCTGTGCTATTTACCAAATAGTTTTCTGTGCTATTTACACTCGCCCTACCACTCACATCACTTTCGGCTTTCGACTATGGCAGACGTCGAAATAATTACAGCGTCCGCACTGTGTCTTCTTGCAATACAAAATTATGTTAATAATTTAAAAAGATATCGAGTTCAAAAGAAGATAGATAAAAAAATTATTTGCTTAAAAACATGGTACATAAGATGATCAATGACGTGGAACTGACATGTTTTGCCATAATTAGCATGCAAAAATGATATGAAATACAGCTACTTACACAAACCCAATGTTACATTTTAAAATTATTGCATTGCTTGTTATGTACAATTAAAAACTTATACAGATCCACTCTATTTGAATTCTTATACAGTAAATTGTTCATAAATTATTAATTGAATTATTACATTATTGTTACATAATATTAAATATTATATGAGATTAGTTAAGCTATTATTATTTTAATAATTACACTACAGTATAAACCAATTCATAATTTTAACTACAATAAAATTATAATTTAAAAATCTAAGGCTATTATGCAAATATTACCATTTAATTTATTTTACATTTTAATAAATAAATAATCAATATGAGTTACTAATCGTTTTTAGAAATAAAATGTCAATGTTCATTAATTCCTCAAACTAAATTTTATATTAATATAATAACTTTGACGAATTTATAATTAATTATGTACATAGGTACTATGTTATTTAAAAAAGAAAATTCGTATTCGTAGATGATGACGAATTGTGGTTTTTATCGTTGAAATCCCGTATAGTTTTTTCTGATTCCAGCAGTTCTAAAAACTTTATTGTATTTTCATTATTCCACTCGAAAGGCATTTATGTAGATCCTACTTATTTAATAACAAGACGACACGCACGTCCGTTCTTCAGGCGCTTCGCGCGAAGCTAGACAGTACCTAATCTATGGCGCGAAGCGAGCGATGGAGCTGAATGTGAACACCATGGAAATACATACATGTACTTCGTACAAACTGGAACCCGCACTCTCGAATGACATAAAAAATACGAGAAAACGACCTTGAAATTTTTCATTACCCCTCAGTCTCTTTCTAATTAGGGTGAACACAAAATACAAGAATTTGGGATATTATGAAAAAAGTTTATGTTCATTATTTTTATTTAAAAACTTTATTGTTCAAACCAATAAAAAAGGTTACAAAGGGCGGACTTAATGCCAGTTAGCATTCTTTGCCAGTCAACCCATGACGTGGTGAGAAATTAGTGGCAGGTGACTTAAGTAACTAAATACAATAAATTTATATAGATACTAGGTGTACCCCGCGGTTTCACCCGCGTATATCACGCGTCTCTGCCGCGAGACATGATATGACACCTCGCTCATTTAGTTCAATCATTTTAGCTAAAAAATTAGCAAAATTAATGGAGTACTTTTATCTATCGGCATATACACGTTATACAGAAAATTTAAATTTTATATACTCACCCTCCCCCCACCTCTATAATTTAGCTTTCTATTGGTAAAAATTGATTAAAATCGGACTTATTTGGTACAAACTAACAAAAACATCTTTCCTCTTTATAATATTATATATATAAGTATAGATAATGATTTTTTAAATTATTTTTTACGTATCTTTTTTTATTTATTTTTTTGTTCTTTTTTAATATTTGATTATTTTATTTTTATTTCTAATATCACACCTCAGTGACACCCGCATCGCATGGTGTTGGCAGTGTATGCGATATAAGGATTTTTCGACGTTACTATTGAATATTTTAACATGGAAAAGTAGTTATTGTGAGATAACTATAATAGTTAGACATATGGTATTGCAGACTTTTATATATATTGTCAATAGTTTCCGCAGCGTACGCGATATAAGGTTTTTTTTGGTATTTTTTTTCACACCTTGGGTTACATTAACGAAGTTTTCATACGGATCCCTAAATTTTTTTGAAAACGTTCTATAGCCTATGTTCATCAGGAATAATGTAGGATTCTAATGGTGAAAGAATTTTTCAAATCGGTTCAGTAGTTTCAGAGCCTATTCAATTCAAACAAACAAACGAATCTTTCCTCTTTATAATATTAGTGTAGATAAATTTATTAAAAATTTTATTCATTTATAAAATTTTAATTTTTAAATGGACATCATTTTTAATAAGTTTTATATTCCTTCAGTAGCTTGCTCAGGATGATGGTTATGATGAGTTTATGGTTAAAGTTTTCGGGAGGCTGTCTTTACATCTCTTATAAAATCATCATTACAGCCTTTCATAAGTCCACTGCTGAGCATAGGCCTCCCGCAAGGAATGCCACAAAGCACGGTCCTGAGCCACCTGCATCCATCGACTTCCTGCATGTCTTACCAGGTCGTCACTTCATCTAGTGAGGCGACGCATTACACTTCGTCCGCCGGTAATATAATATAATTTAATTAATTATATTTTATAAAACATCGTTAATTAATTCGATGGGGAAGAAAGGTTCTCGAGTGGCAGCCTCGTACGGGTAGGCGAAGTGTAGGGCGACCCCCCACTAGATGGAGTGACGACCTTATAAAATAACATAAGGAAATAAAAATCGTTTTTATTTACATTTATTATTACAATAGCAATATTGTCTACAAAATTGAAAGATACAATAATAATAATTAGAACATTATTAATTACAACACAATTTTTATACATAATTGAATAAAATAGTTTTGTGAAGTTTTTGGCGCTTTTTTGGCGCTTTGTACGAACTACACTCAACTTTTGGTCCATACAATTTTTTAGATGCGTTCTGAGACGCATGGTCAAAAAAGAGTTTGAAATTAATTTTAAAATTCTTGATTCATAAAATTCAGAGCAGTTTATGCTGTCATCCATAGGATGATAAAACATTTGTCGCAACTGTGGTGTGAAGTGTTGAATAAATGATATTGATTAATACATTTTTAATATTAGGTTGACCCAGACTATTCATATTTGATGCCCTCTTAAATATTTTATCCGCAAAAAGGACAATTTTGTACACCTCTGCGGATGGAAAATGCAATTTACCTCGATTTACTAATATTGTAAAGGATTGATACTTAATTACATTTAAAACGTATAAATGATCGGTTTGTGAATGATCTGCAGCAATCAGCAAAATTTTACATTCATTACATTTCAGCCGTTTGACGATATTTTTTATTATATATTCGGTAATATAGTAAAGAAGATTTTTTTGATAATCCGTATCGGTGTTTTGTGATTCTAAAACCTGCAAGTGGTTTTCGATTTCATCATCAGTATCTGTATTATCAGTATTTGAGATCGGTTCTACTAGGGATGATTGTTTATTGCCGGAATCAAATACATGCGTTGCGTCGTATGTATGATCAATGCAATTTCCATTAATTGAGGGTTGTACAGTTTCGATATAACAATTTTCTTAATCTATGTCGGAATTCAAAAGGGCTGGGGTTATCACTTGTTCGACCCCGGGCTCTAATACAAGAAAAATATGTTTCTAAATTATCCTGCGAACATTTAAATGTTAAAATATATTTAATGGGAGGAATGACGTTTAATAAATCGTCAAAAAGTAATGGAAAATATTCAATGTTCATTAAAAAACCTAGAGCAAATGTTTTGCGCCCGTGGTGTAAAATACTTTTTCCATTGATACTCAATGATTTTAAATATTCTTTTGTCTGTTACAAAATCAGTTCCCAATATTTTTTGTTTTGAATTTTCATAGGACTTTTGAAACCACGTCCAAAAGACGATTTGGAATTCATAAAATCAAATATCCTATTTTTATTTATTAAAATATTTTATTTTTATCATTTTTAAAAACTCAACCGTGGCTTCACTTCCCCAAAAAAAGCGGATTTCCACTAAGTCTTAAGAACTCGATGGACTCAGCCACCGATGAACTCAAAACTTGGGCCGCAAGTTTGACATTCATTTTTTTATTTTCGTATTCTACGTGGGTAGATGATAATTTGTTACCAAATTTTAAGCCTTCTTCTCTTTGTACCGTATGTAAACTACGAATAAAGGCGTATGATGTGATCCCACTTGATGATAATATTTCATGTTCTGCTAGAACATTACGTGCCAGTTTCAACATGTGTGCGGCATCCAAAAAACAATAAATTTTGTCGCTACCATTTGGGTGCAGAAAATATGACTGAAAAATTTCTTGTTCTAGACAACAGCCTAAAAATTGGTACGCTCGTATATTCGATGGAGCACCATCGCATGTCATTGAGCGGACTGTGATTCCAATTTCGTTAAGCAACAACACAGTAGTATTTAATAATTCTGCTAAAAGTTCACCATGCAAACTATTTTTAATAAAAAAATAAGCTATCGGGCACTTGAAGTATGTAGTGTAGGACACGATTTGAAAGGCTAAGGCTTCAGTAGCTACTTCTTCCGAATCGCTTACGACGATTTTACCGAGATTAACATAGCCGAAAATTTTATCAAGTTTTTGATCATATGATTCGTTTTAATGCCATCCCATCAAATATTAAGGCAACATTTTTTAAATAACTTTTTTCGGGTATTTGGCTTCAAATATTCTAGAACTTCGGACAAAAGCCCCACATTGCAATTAAAAGAGGCCAATGAACGTCTTAAGGTCTCGACGTGTGGCAAAGATGCATATTGTTTAATAAACTCGTACGCTTTTGACGAATAAAAATGTAATGTTAAAGCGAAGGATTTCACTTCATCGTTATACCTCACACCTTGTGTTTTTTTTAATTCTTTACAGGTATTGGCAAAATTTCCTGAAATAATATTTTCTATCTTACTGTTCTCTGTATATGATTTTATAATTTTTATTAAAGATTTCAAATTATTAACAGTTTTGTTGAGCCGAAATACTTTTTGAACCAATGATTTGTTTCTTATCATTAGCTCTTCTTCTCGTGATGATTTAATCCTTGCTTGCACACTTTTATCAGCGCAGTAGATTTGTATGGGAGAAGTGCTTTTGTCCGCGACCTAAAAGAGTAAAAAACTGTTAAAACGATTATTTTTATAATGGACTAGTTAGTTGTGAAAATGCTATAGTCAGAACTAAAATCACAATTCAACTTAAAAAAAATTGAAAACTGAAAAAATTTAGACTTTGTAGTTAACAATTTAATAGACCAACAAAGTATGCTGATGAAATTAAAATGTCATTACTATTTTGGATGTTATAATATCATCGATGTTCATATTTTCCCTTTCCGTTTCCAAAATGTCTCGAAGTAAAGACCGTGGTTTTTACAAATAGGAATATTTATATTTTCTTTTGTAGCATCACGCAGCGGTTAAGATTCCTGAAAAGACACGAATATATGATTTTCCAACACTAAATAACAATATGTTTATTACACATTAAGATAACAATTTAATAATAATAATAATGTATTTCAGGCAATATTTACATTACATAATGTTAATTAATGTAAATAGAGACCTATAGATAAATACCTTATTGATTAACATACATATTTATTATAAAAAATTAAAAAGACATTAATGGCTAATTGTGTAAATTAAAAGAGCACTTACATGACTGCAGGATGGCACGTCTAACATAGTTTCCCAGGTTCGTTTAGAAACTGCGCTAGTTGCATATTTTTCATTTGACTGCAAATATAATTAAGTAAGTATTAAATTAAACCTACGAAGGTGTCTTCTCATCGTCACTTTAAAAATATACATACTTTTATTAATTTAAGTAACAGAATGCATTTTTACTTTTTTTCTCAAAAAAATTATCAAGAGAAAATATATGAATTTAAAATATATAATATAAATTAATTTTAAAATTATAAATATAAATTTTGTAATTTTAAATTACTTTTCTTCCCTTGGAAACAAAATATCGCATGGAAATACGAAATAACAAGTACCTAACAAAAGTTCATACCTGTACCAGAGAACAATCTGCTATTTCATTTAAAAATGGTGTGACTCCTTGTCTCAGTCGTTTCCATTTAATCATGTAATTGGTTGATTTGAAATGGAGGTTACAAATCTTTGCTTTTTCAAAAAAGGGTCTTTTTAGTTCCACATTATTTAACCATTTATTACGTTCTGTTAGATTGGAAGGAAACCTGCAAAAAATTAAGTTATAAAAAATATAAATTTATTTTAATTGTGATGTTTTAGTGTATCGTCAATCGTGTAAACAACGTTTCGAAATTTCATGCAAATCGAGCAGAGTACCATTCCAGAAAACCTTTTCCGTTTCTAACTAAAATGAAAATACATTCACAATGTATGGTCACCCTAGTCGTATTTATAATACAAACATGAAACGTTAATTAGTAAACAAATAATGAAGTGAAATTGGAAATGCCGAACCATAATTAAAATCTAAACCAAAATAACAATTTGTCTATCAAGAAATAAGAGCAATTAAAGTCGAAATATCACTAAACAATTTCACATGACGCGCAGTATTTGCATGGTGTTTTGTACTTACGAATGAAATATAATATTACAACCTGGATGCCATTCACTTTTGCAACCGCGCACAATACATTTAATGACCATTTTACTAGTTTTGCCTCTGGATTATTCCAAAATTCAAAAACAAACTTGCGAAATGAACATAAACATCTGTCATTTGCAGTTAGGCTTGGGTAAAAAATATCGATATATCGAAATATCGATATTTTTTCATAAAATAATCGATATATATCGTCGATATTTTTAATCGCGATATATCGTCATTCCGATATTTATTTTAGAGTATCGAATTCGTATCAATTTCGATATATTTTTACGCAATTCTTGTTTCGTTTATTTAAAAAAAATCTCGTTACAATCTTCATCAAATCGAATATTGCAGTAAGACCATAGACCAAACAGAAGCATTCTTTTGTCTTTTGCTTTTGGTTTTGTTTATGATCTCACTGTTACGATTCGTAACTTGTGTCTCGTAACTTACGAATTCAAATTTGTGTTTTGTGTTTATGATGTACACAGCAAGAGAGTAACGGTATTTTTTTACGGAAAACTTAAAAGTTTAAAGTTAAAAATAAAGCTAAAACTAAAAATACTTCGAATTCGAAGCTTCGAACTTCGAATCTTATTAATCATGTCTTCTGTGTGGAAGTTCTTCAAAAAAGGAGACAACAACAATGATTCAGCTTCTTGCAATTTGTGCGGCAAGTCGTATAAAACGTGCGGTAATACAACCAATTTGGCCACTCATTTAAAAAATAGGCATCATTTTGCTTATTTGCAAATGATGAAAATGCCTAGTTCATTGAAAACAACTAAATCTAGTGAAGAAACTGAAGACGCTGCGGCAGTAGACTTGAATAACTCCAATGTAATGTATCTACTGTTAATGTAAGATTATCAAATATTAATATATCCTAAAGTATATAACCTAAAATCTTTGAGTATTTAATATAACAGCAATAATAAATCAAAGACTAAAATAAACTAAACAAGTTGTCTCTCTCTAATAATAATAGACTGAGTCGAATTAACTTTTTTGTATTAACTTTCTTTTTTTACTTTTTCTATATTTTCAGCTTAGTTTGCCATCCACTAGTACTGGTTATAAAAATTGCCAGCAAAGTCAAGAAGATGTCACAGTCAATCCTGCTGAGATGGTTTATCATGAAGCTAAAAAAAGAAAACAAAGCACCTTAGTAGCTTGTTTAGAGAGAGGCTCAAGCTTCGAAGGTATGTTACTGCAAAGTAAGGTGTTTTTTTTGTTTTACTTTTTAAATGAAAATGTGTTAATAGCAAGTAATTTCTTATAGTTATAATAAATTTATTAAATAAATGAAATTAACCATGTTGAATAAAATTAGCATATCCAAATTCATTCATAGCAATCTACAATTTCATAAATTATCAATTTATATTAAATTAGTCATGTTTCATGTCAGGTCACTAGCGGCTATTTAATACCACCTTAAAATTCAATCAATTTTGTTCGATAAAATAACTTTACCTAAAGAATGGAAGGGACAGCCTGTGGCCGCACCAGTCAACATTAAATTATAATTCTAAATTTCGGTAAAACTTTGAGAAAATTGAGGGGTTTTACTGAATGTGAAACGAATTTCGGTGCATCACTACTTTTTAATACGAATTTTAAATAGTATAGTTGTCGTCGCGCCTTATAAGTACGCACACCTCGTTGAGTTTGCTCTTCACAAATAATAAACAAAAAGTGGTTGAGAGTGACTTTTGAAAGTATGTTTTTGTTCTGCTACTTCAGTTTTTGTGTGTATCAAACAATTAACTTTAAAAAATTAGTCAGTGATATTCGCAATTAATAATAATCAATAAAAATCCGATCCGTTCAATGTTCTCTTACCGTCAATAGCAATAAATGTTATAAGTACGCACACCTCTTTGAGTTTGCTCTTAACAAATAATAAACAAAAAGACACACACACGCACGCACGCACGCACGCACGCGACGCACGCACGCACGCACGCACGCACGCACGCACGCACGCACGCACGCACGCACGCACGCACGCACGCACGCACGCACGCACGCACGCACGGCACGCACGCACGCACGCACGCACGCACGCACGCACGCACGCACGCACGCACGCACGCACGCACGCACGCACGCACGCACGCACGCACACACACACACACACACACACACACACACACACACACACACAAAATTATGGATCCAGATCTTCAAAAACAACTTCAGCGGAAGTTGAAGCTTCGCCAGTGTCTCCAGTTCCCATCTTTGGTTTGCCTTTATCGACTTGGTTGACAACATCTTCGGGGATATCATTTGTTGCGCAATTCATTTTTAAATGTCTAACTGATTTCTAATCAGAAGAATAAAGTTTTTTCTGATAGCTTGTTTCGCGGTTTTCTTTTAACTACATACATAGCACCAAATACGCGTCCAAATTGTGCATTTGATTGCGGTAGTGATAATATTATTATTGCAAAATTAAATAAATCTTCGAGTATGTTTACTCTTGTTGCATTTTTGTATGTCGAAACGAGACCACGGTCTAAGGTCGAAACAGATGAAAGTGAATGAACGACATTGAATTGGTAGTTTATGTTCGGGAATTCTCGTGAAATTATATTATATAGGTAACACTGTATGTGTTACCAACGGTAGATTACAAAATTGGACATATGATAAATGACTTATTTGAATGAATTACTTAAATGAATTACTTTTTTAAAAAAGTCGCCATCTCAAAAGTCCAAATGTCGCTAGAAGTCGCTAAATAATTATTTCTCGCTAAAACGATTTTTTTTATCCGCTAAACATTGTTAAAATCCGCTAGATCTAGGGAGAAAGTCGCTAAAACGCAACACTGACTCTTATTAGTTTGTGCATAAGTTGTAATTTTTTTTATTAACTGGTTTTCCGGCTCTGGGCTCTAGCACTTCTGAGCCTCATAAGTTGTCAATGTAAGATGTACGTACGTTAGTACTCTTATTAGTTTAAAAAATTATATATTTATTAAGTAGAGCAGCATCCACCCGTGATCTCGAACATATTTATGCAAAGGGGAGAGCGCCACCTCTAATGGCTGCCAAAGTAAAATGGCAAAGCTAGACGGAAGCCTTAATTGTTTTTCTGATGATGAAGATGCTTGGAAATTATTTTGTTTGATTACTCACACTTTACATAAATAAAAAATAATAACATAAGAATTGTTACTCGACACTATTAGTAATGAATTGAAAAAAAGCGTTTTATTATTAGAAACCTTAGAAATTCAACTTAAAAAAAGGAGCAGACTTCGTCCAAGGCAAGTTTAACTTAAAATGTTCTAAATAGTTAAAGGTATCACTATCAACCTCTTCAGGCTTTGCACCCATCTTCCAAAAATATATTGCGTGTACGAAATTATTTTTGTTAGTAGTATTAACTAGATTTTTGCTACTGCATTTAGTAGATTAGTATAATAAAATCTGGTCACACATTGTAATATTTAGATTTTTTTTAGATTCTAAATCCATCATCGGCATTTTACTGACGTGTTATGTTTGTAATATTATTTAGTGGTTTTTACATTGTTTAATTATAATGAAATTATTATTCTATTTCTTTTTGTGGTGCGTCACAGTTAATTGTGATGAACATACACATACTTATAAAGATGGAGAGCAGGTCGTTCTGTGGATGAACACCGTTGGCCCATATCATAATCGACAAGAGACGTATGCGTATTTTTCTTTACCGTTTTGTGTGGGTACGAAAGTTACAATCGGGCATTACCATGAAACCTTATCCGAAGCATTGCAAGGCGTTGAATTGGAATTTAGTGGCTTGGATATTACATTCAAAGACAATGTTCCAGCGCAGCAGTTTTGCGGCATAGAATTGAACGATCAGGCTTATAAAGCGCTTGTGTATGCGGTGAAAAATCATTATTTGTATCAAATGTACATAGATGATCTACCAATATGGGGTATAGTAGGCGAAATCGACGGCGATCACTATTATATTTGGACTAACAAGAAGTTCGATATTGGTTGTAATGGTAACAGGATTGTAGAAGTTAACCTTACCGCGGAAAACAAGGAACGACTTGTACCTGATGCTAAGATCCCTTTCACTTACGAGGTAAACTGGAAAAAGAGCAATATTCGATTTGAAGATCGTTTTGACAAATATTTAGATCCAAATTTTTTCCAGCATAGAATTCATTGGTTTAGTATCTTTAATAGTTTTATGATGGTAATATTTTTAGTGGGCCTTGTGTCTATGATTCTTATGAGAACTTTACGTAAAGACTATGCTAGGTATTCAAAAGATGATGATCTTGATGATCTAGAGAAAGATTTAGGGGATGAATATGGGGCTTCCAGCAAGTGCATGGCGATGTGTTTAGACCTGTTCCACACTTAGCCTTATTTTCAGCTCTTGTTGGTGCAGGATATCAACTAACAGTAGTAACATTAGCTGTTATTATTTTTACAATATTTGGGGAACTCTATACTGAGAGAGGTTCCTTACTTTCAACGGCAATATTTATATATGCTGCAACTTCACCAGTTAATGGTTATTTTGGTGGTTCTCTATATGCCAGGATGGGAGGTAAACTTTGGATTAAAAAAAATGTTACTCTCTGCTTTTCTGCTCCCTGTATTAGTTTGTGGTATGTTGCATTAGTACTTATGATCATTTATGATCATTTTTATTTTTCAGAAGGTGGACAAAAACATAGTGAAATAACACATGCACTGATTTACATGATATGTAAGGACAATTTGCCATTATCATGTGTTGAAAAAAAAAGGCTTGCAAAAATTTATGCGCACAGCATGCCCTCTTTATAAACTGCCTTCCAGAAAAAAGGTATTTATATTAAAAATTATCATTCTTATTTATAATTAAAAAATTTATATCACAGTAGTATAACTGGTACTTTTTGTAATTTCCAGGTAACTCATATGATAGAAAATCGATATAATACCACAAAAGCAGTTCTTATGAAATCCTTGACTGAGCAAAATTTTTTATGTTTTACAAGTGATATACTTACTCTCACTAATTCTACAAGGAGCTTCTTAGTATTAACAGTTCATTTTATTGACAACGTTAAGGGATCGCCTATCCTTCAAAATGTAAGCCTATGTGCGCAGAAACTGACTCAGGTGTGTTTTTGTAGTACTTTGTAATTTATCAATTATCCAGACCTTTTAATTATTTTAATTGATATAATTTAATAACTACATCTTAATTGATTCTCACATTATAAAAATATATACAATATTTTCTTTTTTTAGGCTCATTCGGGACAGTACATAAAAGAATGCTGGGAAGAAATTTGTGAAGAATTTCATATAGACAAAAATAAAATTGTTGCCATTACAACTGATGGGGGTGCAAATATAGTGGCGGCAGTGCGATTGTTTTTAGGGAACGATCGCAGAATTTCGTGTATGGCACATTGCCTAAATCTTATTGTTGATGGGGTGTTGAAAGAAAATCAGGCATTTTCAGCTCTTTGCGATCACGTAAATAGCATCGTGACGTATTTTAAACAATCCGTAAATGCGATGGATCAATTACGCTCTGAACAAGAAGTATCTGGAATGCAAGAAGGGGAGGTGTTGACATTAACACAAGCCGTCACCACAAGATGGAACTCGTGCTTTGACATGTTAAAAAGATTTACCACTCTTTCTGCACTAGTAGCTAAAATTTTAGCTACTAAAAGTCAGACAAGCCGAAATACACCCGACATGGTCGCAACTTCTCAATTAAATATTATACGAGATATTGTGGCTATTTTAGGCCCATTCAAAGAAGCCACGGAAGTAATAAGTGGGGCTAATTACGTGACTTCCAGTTTAGCCATTCCGGTTACAAATTTGATTCGCCAAGCAGTGGAAACTTTAAGTCCATCTACAAGTTTGGGGCTAATTGTTAAAGAAGCTCTTCTTAAAAAAGTTCAAGAAAGACTGGTACCTTTACAAGAAAATTCATATTTGTCCGCAGCAACAATATTAGATCCGCGTTTTAAAAAAATTCATTTCAATTCACCAATTGCGGTTTCACATGCCATAGCCAAAATTAGTAATGATATTCGGAGCGAACACCGACGCAGGGGTCAATTTTCCCCTAATCTTAGAACGATCCAAATAGGAAAAGCACAAGAAAAAACTGAGAGTTCAATTTGGTCTGGGCATGAAAAATTATTATCCCAGTCAACAACCGTGCCCGAGGTCCCGAGCTCTGGCTCTGTGCCCAATGAACTCAAGCAATACCTTGATCAACCTCTCATTGAGAGAAAGGCTGATCCAATAAAATTTTGGACAAATTGCCAACATTTTACGCCAGTTCTTTCAGAAGTCGCCCTTAAATACTTAATTTGCCAGGCTTCTTCGGTCTCTTCTGAAAGAGTTGCATCAGCTGTGAATATAACTGTACCCGACAACAGAAGCCGCTTGACAGGAGAGCACGTCAAACAGAGAGTGCTAATAATGTCAATTTCGGATGAATATTGGTTTGATTAGATTACTTTCTAATAAAAATATACTATTTTCTTCATGTGTATTTTTTTTCCGTATATTGAATGTTTTGGGAATACATGTCGATATATCGATATATCGATATTTTTCTGTCGATATATATATCGATACTATTTTCAAATGCCGATACGATATATATCAATATATTTTTTTCCCTTGCCCATCCCTATTTGCAGTAAAAATCATAGAGTAATTCATAGAGATAATCTTCTAAGTCAGTGGAGTAATTAGACTTAGAGTGATAGTGTCATTCAAAATTCCGTTCAAAGTTGAACTTGAAGCAACAACACAATGAATATGTGAATCAGCGGCCAGTAATTAAGTTTTCCCGCACGCAAACAAGCAAATGAGTAATGTATACAAGTAAATGACAATTTCCCCAAAAATGGGCAAAGTGTAATAGTAGACATAGTCGTAAAATTAATATTTAGGTTTCGTTTAGAATTATTTATTAATAATTTACAAAGAAAGAAATATAAAATTACTTATATTTGTTAACTAATATTTTATTAAAATTATTTATATACGTTGGTTGCGCGGAAAACCATTCGTATTTATTTATTTTGACGGTAGGCTGCCAAATCGCTTATCCCTTTCCAAAACGATATCATTCCTACCCTCCTATTGACACATCGGAATGGTGGGGTGGGAGGGGAAAGAAGATGTTTCTAGAATATCACGTAATCATCGCAACCGAAGGTATAAAAGGCACGCGCGACCGACGCGCACCTTCTTCCAGCCGCGCTCGTCGTTGAAACCACACCGCTTCGCTCCCGACGTATCTCTGGGGCCCCAGAGTGTCTGTCCAGAAGAAGTTCCAGAAGTCGCAGCTATAGTGCCCAACAGCATAGAAGAAACACCCCGGTGAGTGAATATTCCTAATAATATTGCCTGCTTGATATAATTGTATTTTAACCCGCTCCAATTTTGTTTTCTCCTAATCAAGCAGGATTCCTTTCATCGATTTGGCAAATAATAGTTCGTTTTTAGGGAAGAGCGAGTGCATTGTACCGCATGCTATAGTCGCCGTTTATATAAGTGTAGAAACATTTTGTAGATACAGTCCACTTAGATTAATATCTCGCGTAATAGGTTTAAGGTTCGACCGGGGAATTCGACTTCGGCGACCTGAGGCTCGTAGCTCCACCATTTTATGGTCCTTCGGCAGGATTTGGACTAGTGTTTAGTAGTCGTTCAACCATTTTCTGGTCGAATTATTAAATTAATTATTTAGATAATGCACTCTAGTTTATGGAATAGTCTTAAATAGTGTTCATTTAAATTTTGGTTAGGTACTCTCAAACAGAATTATTCATTTAAATAGTGTTTGTATTTGGTTTAAATTTAAAGCTTATTAGTCGCTTAAATAATTGAAAGAGTGTAATTGCAACCGTTTGGTACGCTTACCCGACAATTTTGATAAAAATATTGAGTTTAGCGAGCGACAGCGTAACAGGTGTTCGATTTAATTACGTAATACGGCATACGAGTGTCCATTCCCTATTATTTGTGCGTTGTGAGATTAATTGTGATTAATATAACTTTATTATAATAATTTAAAATGGCGGTTAATGGAAATGAAATTAAAATTAAAACGCTTTATGCCAAGAGGGACATATTTTTTTTCACGTATACAAAGTATTAGTGATCACATAAAGAACATCAATGTAGAAGCAGTGCGGGAAACTTTTTTGAACGAAATTGAAACGGTGGATTCTTTGCGGACGGATTACGAAAGAATATTAGACCAAATTAATCATTTGGAATTACAAATCGACCCGAAATACATAGTGAACTACCAACCGCTTCTAGCATTTGAAGATATGTTGTGTCGCGTGAAAAAAACGGCTTAGAGCAGTTTTTAGATAAATTTGCACTTAAGAATTTGAAATTTAATGACCTTATGGACGTGGTGTTTCTCCATATTGCACTAAAGAAATTAGACCCCGACACCGTGCGTGCGTTTGAAATGGAGCATCGTAGCTCGGAGATGCCTTCCTTTCATTCATTAGCATCGTTCGTGCGTGATCAAATAAAGGTGATGCAGCGCTCTCCGAACGTTAAACAGGAGATTAAAAGGTGCGTCGACCGTAGACAGACTCAACCATCTAAAATAGCAGGGTCGTTAACTTACGTAACCGCTACGTCAGCATCACTTCAGCATGCTTGCATCGTATGTAAAGATAAACACGGTAATTTATATAATTGTGCGACTTTTCGTAAATATTCACCAAGCGAACGTTATAAATTAGTAAAGACAAACAACCTATGTCTGAACTGCTTAAGTGATAAGCATTTAGTTGCAAAATGCAATTCGAGTTCCGTATGTAGCAAGTGCGCCAGGAAACATCACACGCTATTACATTTTGAAAATAGCAACATAGCGGCGTCAAGTAAAGCGGATAAGGAATTCACCCCTACTAAAGCCAACAATTCTAGCGGTCGACCTGGTGATGTCGCTCTGTGCTCATTGGCGAATATGGGAGCACAACCTCCTTCAACCGTGTTACTGGGTACGGCGCGTATTTTGGTTAGGGATTCGCGTGGAAACGAACAAAGCGTCCGTGCACTGCTGGACAGCGGAGCCCAAAATAGCTTTATAACGCGATAATGTTGTCAGCGCTTAGGCTTAGTAATAAATAGGTCACTTTCATGTCCTGTAGTCAAAGGCATCGGAGGTACTAGTAAAGCTACCCAGGGATATATAAATTTAAAATTTTATTCTCGGATAGATCGTAACGTTAACTTTGATATAAATGCGCTAGTAGTAGATAGGGTCACTGAACGGTTGCCAACCGTTTCGGTTGACACCTCGGCAATGATTGAATTTAAAAATTTGACTCTAGCGGACGACACTTACGCCATTCCTGGAAATATAGACATGCTCATTGGAGCATCGTTTTCCCCTCATCTTTTGCTAAATAACAAGGTCAGGGGCAACTCCTCGCATACCGCGCCTTACGCACTGGTAACCGTATTGGGCTATGTTATCGTTGGCTCCGCCCCCATCATAGATAGTATTTCGGCAACCTCTTATTGTGGTATGGCTGTCGAACCGCTAGAGTCGTTAGTCCGCAAATTTTTGGAGATGGAGGAGGTGAACGTCCCACCCATAGCTAGCTCAGATGACAGATTATGCGAGGAAATTTACGTCCGCACGACCGTTCGTGATCGCGACTGTAGATATAGTGTAGCGCTACCCTTTAAAGGAGATGTTTTATCTCTCGGCGATTCGCGTCAAATGGCGGAAAAACGTTTCTACAGCTTGGAGCGTAGGATGCTCGCTTCACCCCAGTTAAAGGAAGCTTATGACGGCATTATTAACGAATATATAAGAGAAGGTTACGTATCACTTGTGGCTTCGAAATTAGATAACTACGAAGACACACCGTCGTATTTCATACCACACCACGGGGTCATTAGGGAGGACAAACTTACATCTAAGTTACGTGTAGTGCTCGACGCTAGTGCTAAAACTAGCACTCACCTGTCGCTTAACGATATCCTCTATAGTGGGCAAAATTTACAGGGCAGTTTATTTAATATAATAGCCAATTTTCGTTTGTTTAGTATAGCACTATCCGCCGATATTCGCCAAATGTTTCTTTGCATAGGGGTCCGTGAACGCGACCGTAGATTCCAACGCATTTTATATCGTTTCAACCCAAAGGAACCTCTAATGGTGTTTGCATTTAACCGCGTTTGTTTTGGTTTAAAGTCGAGCCCATTTCATGCGTTACGCACGGTGAGTCAGCTTGCCCACGATGAAGGTCCCTCTTACTCTAAAGCTAAGAGGGCAATTGAGAGCGATTTATATATGGATGATTTTGTATACTCGGTCGATAGCGTGGAGGAGGCCATCCTAACCACCGCCGAGGTTATAAGGGTCATGAAATCGGGTCAATTCGATCTTGTGAAGTGGACTAGTAATTCGCGTCCGGTTTTAGATACAATCCCACTATCACACCGTCTTTCGGCGATAAAGGAATTCGACGATTCTGATACACACAAGGTGCTCGGTCTGTGTTGGTCACCAGAGTCCGACGTGTTTAGCCTTAAGGTAAATCCGCCCGTAGAGAAATGCACAAAGCGCACAATACTGTCATGCGTTGCTAGATTATGGGACGTCATGGGTTTCGTAGCTCCGGTGGTATTATACGCTAAGCTTTTGATTAAACAACTTTGGTTATTTGAATGCGATTGGGATGACTCGCCGCCTGACAGCATCGTTAGGTTGTGGCAGCGTTTTAGAGAGGAACTTCCTTTACTAAGAGAAATTAAAATACCGCGTCATATAAACGTCGACAGAAATAGCGTCATAACGGTCGTTGGGTTTGCAGATGCCAGCGAGAAGGCTTACGGGGGCGTTGTATATTTCCATGTTCAGAATAATGGTAGAAATTCGATTAGCCTCATTAGTTCTAAGTCGAGAGTCTCCCCCCGTAAGGTTGTCTCTCTGGCGCGCTTAGAGCTTTGCGCAATATTAGTACTCACCAAGCTTATTACCGCAGTTATCAGCGCATGTAGGGATAGAGTTCACATAGAAAGGATATTTGCCTTTTCCGACTCCACCGTCGCCTTATGCTGGGTTCATTCTTCACCCCACCGTTGCGATATGTTTGTCGCGAACCGAGTGGCCAAGATCCAAGACGAGTTAGAAACGCGGAACTTTTATCACGTGTCCGGTACGGAAAACCCTGCCGATTGTCTATCCCGTGGACTCACCCCGATGCAAATAATGGACCACCCGCTTTGGTTCCACGGACCTTCTTGGGTTCACTTCGATCCCTCGCAATGGCCAATAACCGATTTCGAACCTTCGTCAGTGTCACAACCGCCGGAAGAGAAGAGACACGCTCTAGTGGCGAACGTTTCGAGCGAGGTTTCTCCAATCATTGCTTTGGCGAACCGCTTGTCCTCTTGGTCGAAATTATTGCGTAGCGTAATTTACGTTTTTCGATTCGCGAAGCTTTTACCGCGACATT